TCATATTCAATTAGTTAATGCAGATTCTGTAAGTTTAAATAGGCCTGACTGGGGAGTTACAAATGATATGCACTATAATACTTTAGAAATAACAAAAATATTTAAATCATTACAAATGTTTTGAGATGGTATTTGCGCCCGAAATACTGTTTATTATAAACTCATAAAATTGTATCGCTTCAAGCACATAATTAATTGATTATCTGGGAAATGGCACAAATCTCAGCACCTATATTCTATGTATATAGCCTGTTTTGGGTGTTGAGATTCTCAGGTATAGAATAACCAGCATGTAGGTCGGTGGAGCTGCATGGGACTGTGAGTGGGAGTGTAGGATCACTCGGTATGAGAAATGATCAAGGTATTGAAGGTTAATTTGCTCAACAACCGGTCGGTGCAGCTGCGTACTGATGCAGTTCAGATTTGAAAGCAAGATGAGTTGGTCTGATACTTCACTCAGGTCGAGAGTTAGAGTTCTGCCATGCGGTGGATCCTAACTAAGTAATTTCTACCCTCAGGTCTTATCCATCCAAGGATCAATCTGTGCTGATTTTACCTGCCATCTACCACCCAGCAAAGTAAGAAGTTAAGCATTCTTATCCTTGTTACATTTCTCTTTCAATTATACTGTAACCTGAACCAGTGACCACCATTCTATTAAGGATGGAAGTGCAAACGAGAGGAACTACGGAGATAGATGGCACCAGCTTTACTTAGGGGTTTTCTCTTTCAGAACGACCTGCTCCTATGCCGGCGTTACTATTAAATTTTATCTTCTTTGTTACTCAGAATATCAGAAACCACGGGCATGACGTCAAAATATCCTTGGGACTATAGTCTAGGTTGTAGAGACATAGAACTTGGAAACAAAACGAACAATCAATGTATTCGTCTAAGTGAGCACAGGTGGGATTTGCTGATAGACACTGGTACTGGCAGCAGGAAGTTCTCTGGACCAGAAAAGCAATGATCAGGGATGAACTACTTACGAAGTTGTTACACTACCTGAAAGTTGGGGGATTGCATAAGAGAGGTAGATGTTCGCTGCTTAGAGTTGCTCATACCTAGCTGAGAGAAGTTATGATTTTTTTTTAAAAACAAAAGACCTTGAACCAATTTAGGGCTAGAGATCTAAGAAGACGTAAAAGAGCACACAAGGTACATGAGCCTGTCCTCTGCCTGTTTATCTAATCATTGTGTAAGAACAAGTCTGATAACGGCCGATAAATCATGGGATGTGATTGTGGCTAAATTCGGAGCGTGTGACGGGTCAGATTTATCTTGCTGCCTTTACTCCGATCCACTTCTGTCAGTCACTGAAATCTGAAAGATTAGGCTGACTGAAGAACTGAGGTATCAACTACCTCGTCGTCCTTCAATGCTGTTAATAAGCATCCTAAAGAAACCTAAACTGATGTATTCTTAACCTAATCTGAATGTAATCTTCACAACTCAAGGAAGGCATGTAGACTAGTCCCTCTCGCTGTACTGGATAACGAGGAAAGACTAAATTGCCGTCTCATGCTTGAAG